CGGATCCGGGCGAGGAGGACCCGAGATACAAGGGGCGGCTGTACGCGTTCATAAAGGCGTTCCTCGCCGTATCGATAATCGGGCTGGCGGTGGAGACCTTCGCGTATTTCAGCGATTGGGATTTAGGGTTCGTGAGCCCGTGGGAGGTGAGCGATAATCTGGTGCGGTGGGCGTACGTGGGCTGGCTGGGGTTCAGGGCCAATTACGTGGCCCCGTGTGTGGTTACTTTGTCCAGGTTCTGCATCGTTCTGTTCATGATCCAATCGCTGGATAGATTTGTGCAGTGTTTGGGGTGTTTTTGGATTAAGTTCAAAGGGCTGAGGCCCGAGATTGAGGAAGATGGGCCGGGCGATGTGGAAAACGGGTCGGGCTTTCCTATGGTTCTTGTTCAGATCCCTATGTGCAATGAGAAAGAGGTAATTTTGAAAAAAAAAGGTTGGAAAAAAAAGTAGAGGATAAAAGATACATGTTCCGTTAGTTGTTGTTCTTGCTAGTTTGTTTCAAGTTTCATCATTTTTTCTATTTTTTCAAAGATTTTTTTAGCTGCTATTGTAAAAACAGTATTATACAGTCTTGATTGCAGCTTGCTTATGAGGATTATTGTATTGAATAAGGGTAATCAAATTCTCCTTGCTTACCTTTTGACTAGGTAGGAATGTTGTGGGTTATCTGTCAAATTAGGACTAACTAAGAAAGGTTTAGCTTAATGAAGAAAGAAGCAATTATTTTTTAAGCCTTGATTGAGTCTATTTATGTGATTATAATTAGTGGATATATTGTAGCTTTTGATCATAAAGATTAGCTATGCATAGTAATTTTTCCCACTACTAATTGTAGGGGCATCCTACTTGAGTTGAGAGCCTATGGGCCTTGCTTCTTCTTTAATCTTTTTCTTTCTAAAATTATACTCTTTTTTTTTTCTTGAATTTCCTTTTTTAAAGGTTTATGAGCAATCAATAGCAGCTGCTTGCCAGCTCGATTGGCCCAAGGACCGATTTCTCGTGCAAGTTTTGGATGATTCGGATGATGAGCTTTTGCAGCACTTGATAAGAGATGAAGTAATGTCTTGGAAAGAAAAAGGGGTCAATATAGTCTATAGGCATCGGTTCATTCGAACCGGCTATAAAGCTGGGAACTTGAAATCAGCCATGGCCTGTGACTATGTAAAGGACTACGAATTTGTCGCTATCTTAGATGCCGATTTTCAGCCTACACCCGATTTTCTCAAGCTCACGGTACCTCATTTCAAGGTAAAAAAAAAAAAAATGATCCTGGTTTGGTTTATTCCCGGTCGATTAGTTAAAAAGATTCCACCTTTAGAGAAAAAGGAATTAACTTTACTAAAAATAACATCGTTTTACCGAATTCTGTAAATTTCAGGGGAAGCCCGACTTAGGACTCGTCCAGGCTCGCTGGTCGTTCGTCAACAAGGATGAAAATTTACTCACGAGGCTTCAGAATATCAATCTGTGCTTCCATTTTGAAGTCGAGCAGCAGGTGAACGGCCATTTTCTGAATTTTTTCGGGTTCAACGGGACAGCTGGCGTGTGGAGAATCAAGGCCTTGGAAGATTCCGGAGGATGGCTCGAGAGGACAACTGTTGAGGATATGGATATAGCCGTTCGGGCACACTTGCACGGTTGGAAGTTTGTTTATCTTAATGATGTCGAGGTTCTTTGTGAGTTGCCTGAATCTTATGAAGCGTATAAAAAACAGCAACATCGTTGGCATTCGGGTCCTATGCAGCTATTCAGATTGTGCTTACCTGCAATACTAACTTCAAAGGTATATATATACACATACATGACAGATTATCAAGATATCTCCTTTTATTTTCTTTTGGCCATTTGATTTCTTGCATATAAAAATAGATATTAACTGAAAAAAAATCTCATCTTTCGTAACTTTTTTGGCAGATTTCAGCCTTGAAAAAAAGCAAACTTGATATTCCTGTTGTTTCACATATAAGATATCTCTTATTTTCTTTTGGGCATTTGATTTCTTGCATATAAACTAGATATTACTGATAAAGCTCTCATCTTTCGTAACTTCTCGGCAGATTTCAGCCTGGAAAAAAAAGAAGCAAACTTGGATATTCCTGTTCTTTCTTATGAGTTTCACATATAAGATATCTCCTTTTATTTTCTTTTGGGCATTTGATTTCTTGCATATAAAATAGATATTACTGAAAAAGCTCTCGTCTTTCGTAATTTTCAGCAGATTTCAGCCTTTGGGCATTTGGTTTCTTGCATATAAAATAGCTATTACTGAGAAAAATCTAATCTTTCTTAACTTTTCGGCAGATTTCAGTCTGGAAAAAAGCAAACTTGATATTCCTATTCTTTCTCCTGAGGAAACTCATACTGCCCTTCTACTCATTCACACTCTTCTGCATAATCCTCCCACTAACCATGTTCATACCCGAAGCTGAGTTACCTTTATGGGTCATTTGTTACGTCCCGATTTTCATGTCCTTTCTCAACATACTACCCTCACCAAGATCCTTCCCATTCCTAATGCCATACCTATTATTCGAAAACACAATGTCTGTCACGAAATTCAATGCCATGGTTTCGGGCCTTTTCCAGCTTGGAAGCGCTTACGAATGGGTCGTGACCAAAAAAACGGGCCGGGCCTCAGAATCTGACCTATTGGGCCTTGCAGAAAGAGAATCGAAAAATCTGAATGAGGAGAAAATCCAGAGGAGGCTTTCTGAGTCAGGTTTGGAAATGCTCGGAAAATTAACTGAGCAGAAAGCTCCGGTATTGAAGAAGAATAAGAAGGTAAATAGGATTTACAGAAAGGAGCTAGCGCTTGCGTTCCTTCTGTTAACGGCTGCCGCTAGGAGTTTGCTTTCGGCTCAAGGGATTCACTTTTACTATTTACTGTTTCAAGGGCTGTCATTTTTAGTAATGGGATTGGATTTGATTGGGGAGCAGGTGAGTTAAATAGAGAAAATTAAATCTAATTAATTATTGGATGGTGATGATATATTTTTTTTTTTTTTTTTTT